GGCTATTTTTTGGTTGCAGCCATCATTGTTGTTTTGGTGGGCCCGGGCTGGATTCAAACCTGCCACCTTAGGTGTATGTGGCTGGCGCCTTAGCCACTTGAGCCACAGGCGCTGAGCCAGACTAGGGACTTCTTAAGGTCCGGGCAGAGAACTGAGTCTTCTTTGGAGGCCTAGCTTTGCCTAGCCCACGGCCAGGCATAGAGCAGCCTCCCTAGGAAAGGGAGTTCAGGCAGCACCCATAGCTCAGAGGGTAGGGCACCAGCCACATACACCCAGGCTGGTGGGTTTGAACCTGGCCTAGGCCAGCTGAACAATGACAACTGCAACAAAAAAACAGCCAGGCGTTGTGGCAGACACCTGTTGGAGGTTGCTGTGAGCTGTGATGCCACAGCACTCTATCAAGGGCAACATAGTGAGACTCTGTCTCAAAAAAAGAAAAAAAAGAAAGAAAGGCTCAGGAAGTAGGGTGCTGGCTCCATATACCGAGGGTGGCGGGTTGAAACCTGGCCCCAGCCAAACTGCAAGAAAAAAAAATAGCCGGGTATTGTGGTGGGCGCCTGTAGTCCCAGCTACTTGCGAGGCTGAGGCAAGAGAATCACCTAAGCCCAGGAGTTAGAGGTTGCTGTGAGCTATGACATCACAGCACTCTACGGAGGGCTATAAGTAAAACTCTGTCTCTACAAAAAAAAAAAAGAAAGAAAGAAAGAGTTCACTGAATGAATAAACAAGCTCATAGAAAAGCACACTGTAATTCAAGGAGTTGGAATGGGTGCAGAAAGTGTCTGGCTGGTGGTGAGTTGGGTCTAAGGAGCTATAATAGTGTTATCATCATCATCACTGAAATCAGGCTGGGGAGGGGGTGACCTGTGTGAATTGACCCAGCCTGCTCCATGGTGGGTCCAATCGGCTCAGGCCACAAGAAAACCACCCTGGGATGCCAGCCACTTATGTCAGGGCCCATTCCTACCCTTTTTCTTGCAATGAGGAAAATCCCAGGAGGATTTTGGGGGAAGGGATCCAGGCGAGGAGCCCCCAGGCTCCCATGGCTCTGCCTGAAAGTATCCTGCTCTCTTTTGGGGTGGTCCCTGAGACTCACCTGAATGTCCATATGTTCAGTCACTGTGTTGCCAGGGTCCAGAAATGTGTTTGGGTTGGAAAACAGATAATGGGCATAGAACTTTTGGTGGAAAGGCAATAAATGTAGAAGGCATGACTGGCAGGCCCAGGTCCATTTTTTTTTTTTTTTTTTTGAGACAGAGTTCCACTATGTTGTCTGGTAGAGTGCCGTAGTGTCACAGCTCACAGCAACCTCCAACTCTTGGGCTTAAATAATTCTCTCTCTCTCTTTTTTTTAAGACACAGAGTCTCACTTTATCACCCTCAGTAGAGTTCTGTGGCATCACAGCTCACAGCAACCTCAAACTCTTGGGCTTAAGCAATTCTCTTGCCTCCGCCTCCTGAGTAGCTGGGACTACAGGTGCCTGCGCCCAGCTATTTTTTTGTTGCAGTTTGGCCAGGGCTGGGTTTGAACCTGCCACCCTCAGTATATGGGGCTAGTGCCCTACCCACTGAGCCACAGGCGCCACCCTAAATGATTCTCTTGTCTCGGCCTCCCAAGTAGCTGGGACCACAGGCACCCACCACAACATCTGGCTATTTTTTGGTTCTACTTGTTATTGTTGTTTGGCAGCCCCAGGCTGGATTTGAACCCGCCAGCTCTGGTGTAGTGGCTGGAGCCCTAGCCACTTGAGCTACAGGTGCTGAGCCCATTCTTTTTTCATTTTTTGAAGATAATCTCACTCTGTCACTCTGGGTAGAGTGCTGTGGTATCATAGTTCACAGCAACCTCAAATTCTTGGGTTCAAGCAATCCTCTTGTCTCAGCCTCCCAAGCAGCTGGAACTACAGGCACACAGAACACCTGGCTACTAAATTAAATGAAATTAATTAATTATTTTGAGACAGAGTCTTACTATGTCACCCTCAGTACAGCGCCCTGTCATCAGCTCATAGCAACCTCAAACTCTTGGGCTTAAGCAGTTCTCTCGTTTTAGCCTCCTGAGTAGCTGGAACTACAGGCTGGAACGACAACACCTGGCTATTTTTTTTGTTGCAGTTGTCATTGTTGTTTAGCTGGCCTAGGCTGGGATTGAATCCACCAGCCTGGGTGTATGTGGCTAACGCCATAATTACTGTGCTACGGGCACTGGGCACTGAGCTGTTTTATTTTTATTTTTTTAATTTTCTTTCTTTGTAGAGACAGAGTCTCACTTTTTCGTCCTCGGTAGAGTGCAGCGGAGTCACTCCAGCAACCTCCAACTCCTGGGCTTAGGTGATTCTTCTGCCTCAGCCTCTATATTTTTTTTTTTTTTTTTGAGGCAGAGTCTCACTTTGTTGCCCTTGGTAGAGTCCCCTAGTGTCATAGCTCACAGCAACCTCAAACTCTTGGGCTCAAGTGATTCTCTTGCCTCAGCCTCCCAAGTAGCTGGGATTACAGGTGGCTACCACCACAATGACTATTTTTTAGAGATGGGGGGTCTCACTCTTGCTCAAGCTGGTCTTGAACCTGTGAGCTCAGGCAATCCATCTGTCTCGGCCTCTCAGAGTGCTAGGATTACAGGCGTGGACACCATGCCCGGCCTCATTTTTTTAATTATTATTATTCTTTTTTTAGAGACAGAGTCTCATTTTGTCATCCTCAGTAGAGTGCTGTGGCATCACAACTCACAGCAACCTCCAGCTCTTGGGCTTAGGCGATTCTCTTGCCTCAGCCTCCCAAGTAGCTGGGACCACAGGCGCCCGCCACAATGCCCGTCTATTTTTTTGTTGCAGTTTGGCCGGGGCCAGGTTTGAACCCGCCACCCTTGATATATATCGGGCCAGCACCCTACTCACTGAGCCACAGGCGTTGCTGTATTATTGTTAATTTTTTTTAGAGAAAGGGTCTCATTTTGCTTAGGCGGGTCTCAAACTCCTGAGCTCAAGCTATCCACTTGCCCATTATCCCAGAGTGCTCGGAGTATAGGAGTGAGCCACCTCATCCAGCCCTATTTTTTCTATTTTTAGTAGAGACCAGAGTCTTGCTTTTGCTTAGGCTGGTCTGGGACTCCTGAGTTCACACAATCCACCCATTTTAGCCTCCCCGAGTGCTAGGATTACAGGTCTGACCTACCATGCCCGGCCTTGGGTCTATTTTATTCTATTTTGTTTATTTATATATTTTTGAGACAGAACCTCCAGCTGTTGCCCTGGGTAGAGTGCTGTGGTGTGACAGCACACAGCAACCTCTAACTCAAGTGATATCCTCTTGCCTCAGTTTTTCTATTTTTAGTAGAGACGAGGTCTTGCTTTTGCTTAAGCTGGTCTGAAACCCGTGAGCTCAAACAATCCACCTGCCTCGGCCTCCCAATGTGCTAGGATTATAGGCGTGAGCCACCGAGTCTGGCTTCCCAGGTCCATTTTCGATGATTAGTAGGGAGTTTCAGTTTGAAGGTCTGGGGTATGTGCACTAGCCGCAGAATGGGCATATGCAAAGGCCTGGACCTTTCCAGAAGGCCAAGGAAGGAGAGGCAATGAGCTTGTGCACAGTAAAGCAGGCTCGATTTCACTCACATGTTGCAGAGGACGAAACTGAGTCTGGAGCAGGGTAGGGCATGTGCCAGTCTCCCCACTACACCATGGAGATACCTATTCGAATTTTGGGGCCTTGGAGTTCCAGCCCCTTCTTGAGTCCTGGAATATAGCCCCGCCCCCGCGCTTAGACCACGCCCCTCACCGCTCAAGCCCCGCCTCTACCAGCCCGCCCCCGCGGCGTGACCGGAAGTGCGCGGGCCTCCAAGATGGCGCCCAAAACCCGGAAGTGAGCCACTGCCGCGGAGACGCTCGAAGAAACTGAGGCGCCGCGAGCTCCGCGCCCGCTGGACCTGGGTCTGAGGTGAGGTTGAGTCCCGCCGCAGCCCTCGCTCTGATTCCGACGCGATCCCAGCTCAGTCCGATTCCGGGCTCGGCCCTGCGTGAGCCCGTCGCTTCCCGTGGCTGCGCGCGTCCCTGGCTTGGGTTCCGGGTGCCGCGGGGCGGGGGCGAGCGCGGCGGCGACCCCCGACCCCTGCCGCGACTCCGCCCCTACCGCGACCCTAGTCGACCCCGTTCTCTGTCACGATCCTTGACCCCACACTGCCGGGCGATCTCCGCCGTGAACCTTGACCCCACCCTCCGTGGCGCCCCCCACCCACCCTGACTTCTCGCGCTTCTCGGTGACCCCTGACCTTTCGTTTTCTGGTGACCCTTAGTTTCCGACTTTTTAGTGACTGTCTGTTGACTCCGAACTGTTTTGTCCTGGAGTCCTTTCTTGTGACCCTCAACGCTGTGCGCCTCGTGACCCCAGCCTTTTTTTCTAATGATCTCTTCCCGTCTCCTTGATCCTCAACCCTAGGCTTCTTGGGGGTTCGTGCCCTTTCCTCCCCAGTTACCCCCTCCCAATTCCCCACAGCTCCGGGCATTCTGACCCTGGCTTCAGGAGGGGCAGATACGCCTGGTTCCCAGTTTCTCATGTGGGTCCCTGGATTCAGGATAGGAGCTTGCTGGTATTAGGGGACCCCAGAGCATGTCTATGGTAGTGTGTCGCGGGGCTGACACCCAAACTGGGCCTCCAAGCACAGGCCAGAGGGCAGGTAGTGGACAGAGGTAGCCCCAGGAGCGGTATGTGTGGGTGGATGGGGCAGGGGAGGCCGTCTCTGTGGATCCTGCCCCTATAGGATTTCTCCTCACCACCCCAGGACCCTGAAGAATGCCTGGAGGGACCAACCCAGACTGGCCGGGGGGTTGGGGAACGGGGGCTATGGCAGGCAGGGACAGTAAGTGTCTCTCTACATGAAGTGATTAACATTCTGAAAAGTAAAATAAAACCAAGTCTGTAAAGTGTGTAGCCGGGACATCCCCTGGCTTCTGCTTCCCGGAATGCCTCTTAGTTCTGCCTATTCTGGAATGGCCTTCCTGTCTGTAGACTGCCATGACAGGCTGGATTTGGTGTCATCTCTTACACCCTGTTAACTGAGGTGGTTTGCCTCAGATCTGGTCTACATTGATGTTTGTTGGCAGTTTTGGGGACAGTGGGGGTTTTACAGAATGGCCATGGGAGAACTGATGTAGGGCTGATCTTGGCTTGGAACTGACTAAATAAACCTCGGACAGGTGAAGTTTTCAGGCTCTAGGGACTGGCAGGTGGATACCTGCTCACCAGAGGTGCTTCTGAATGTTCATGGGAAGAGCAGGTGAAGGACGGAGGGCCCCAAGGCTGCAGACCTCAGAGGGAGTGAGCTTGCTGGTCACAGGCTGAACTTTATTCCGGGGAGGTATGGGGCTGTCACAGGCACCATCCCTGAAACTGGCTTCCCTTACTCGACCCTGGGAGGATAGTGGCAAGGACTTGGGACCCATAGAGTTTGTGATAGGCTAGGAGAGTAGTCCAGGGAAGGAAGGTACTGGCCCATCTAGTATCTCTTTCTTCCCCAGCACCTTCTTGCTCATGGGCTTCCTGGTTACTTTCAACCTGGATTTTCCCAGGGGAGGTCCCCAGAGGTGGGGTGACAGCCTCTCAGAGCTGTTTGCTCTGGGGCACCTCCAGAGTCTTTGGGGAGAAAGCTGGAATAAGACACCTCAGAGGGTGGGGTTTCCTGGGTAGGAGAGATGCAGGCAGACTCTGTCTTCCTTGGAAAGGGGAAAGACCAGGCAGGTGCCCGCCTGCCCTGGAGGTGTGATTTCAGACAACTGGGAGGATCCCAGCAGACATTTGCTGACAGCTGCTGGGAGCCAGGAGGACTCCAGTGGGAGAAGGGTTAGTTGTGCAGACATGGCTGTTGAGGCCTTGGGCCCCCAGGTGAGGAGCTGGTTTTCTAGAGGGAATTTCTCTTGGGCAGTGTTTGTTTATTTGTTCATTCATTCACAGTTAACTTTGAAGTTGGGCTCGTCTTCATGGGTGACACCCATGTCCAGGTTTAGGGGAGAATGTCCTATGCTTTCCAGCTGCTGGACCCTGCGCAAATCACTGCCCTCAGCCTGGAAGGGGAACTGACAGCCCAGAGGCCTTCCTTCCCCCACCCCAGGGGGCGTGACCAGCGAGGCTTGGCCCAGCTCAGTTCCAGAAAAGTTTCAGATGCCCCTCTGGCAGGGCCCACTGTTGGGCAGAAACGCCGACACAGCTAGAGTGATCTGGGCCTGGAATAAAGAGGCAACTGTGTGGGCAGAAAAAGCCTGGTCCCCGGAGGCCATGTCCCTCCCAGGAGGGCCCACATACAGGGGTCAGCTTGTTCCTGTGTTGGGTTGGGAGTGTAATGTAATCTAAGACTGTGAACACACTGGGAGGTTCACGTGGCTGGTTGTATGGAGGCAGCCCCCATGGTGCCAGCATAGTCCTAGGGACTGTGTGCATGCATGTGTACACACATGTGCCTTCTTGTTCACAGTGTTGTATCGTGTGTGCATATGTTGTATGTGCATATATATACTTCATGTGTATGGCTGTGTTCGTGTATTTTGTGTGTGTAGGCATGTGGTTATATACTCCATTGCTTTTTGTGTGGGTGTATTGCTTGTGCATATGTGTGTTGCACATGCATGTGTGTTGTGTGTGCCTGTGTATCTGAGTTCAAGCATATGTTGTGTGCATGTGATATTCCATGAACAGGTTTAGAGTGTCTAATGTCTCCATTCACCTTTTCTTCCTTTTTTTTTTTTTGAGACAGAGTCTCATTATGTTGATGTCATAGCTCCCAGCAACCTCAAACTTTTGGGCTTAAGTGATTCACTTGCCTCAGCCTCCCAAGTAGCTGGGACTATAGGTGCCTGCCACAACCTATAGCCTGGCTATTTTTTGGTTGCAGTCATCATTGCTGTTTAGCAGGCCTGGCCTGGGTTCGAACCCACTAGCTTCAGTGTATATGGCTGGCACCCTATTCACTGAGCAATGGGTGCTGAGCCTCCGTTCACCTTTTCTACAGCTGAAGGCTGTATGGTCAGCACATGAGGAGGGTGGAGTGCAGCTGGCAGCAGGGCATAGTCTGAGAGCGAGGTCACCCAGACCTGGTTCCTGTGCTGGCCTGCCCCTGCCTGCTTATCCACTGGGCAGTGTGGTGGATGATCCTAGCCCCTTGGACCTGCCTCCAGGCCCCCTTCCCCTGCTGGGGGGTGTCAGTCCAGTACCTGCAGGCTCAGGGGCTGGGATAGAGATCAGCTTTCTCTGGGGTCACTGCTGATGGAGACTGCTGGCTGCATGGTCACCTTCCTTCCCTCTCTGGGAGGTGTGGTCACTTGTCCTGGGGATCTGTGACTCAGACCTAAGTTCTAGCTGAAGACTGGGATTTCAGATGCACTGGCTCTGACTCCTGCTTGCTCTGGGCTTACTGGAGTCCCTGGAGAGGCAGAGACTAGACCCTCACTTAGGTGCCAAGGTGAAACTGGAAAACGTGCTCAGTAAGAGACATGAGACACAGAAGGACACACAGTGTATGATTCCATTTATGTTAAATGTCCGGAACAAGCAGATCCACGGAGACATGAAGTGGATTCATAGTCATCAGGTGTTTGGGCTGGACATGGGGGAGTGATTGCTGATGAGATTGAGACTTCCTTTTGAGGTGATGGAATGTTCTGGATCTAGACAGGGGATGACAGTAGTTCAGAATATACTAAAAACTACCAAGCTATTCACTAAATGAGTGAATTCTATGGTATGTATCTCAGAGAAAGCATTAGTGTTTGAAAGAGAGCACAGCCTGTCTCTAAACTTGAGGAGCCCTTGTGGGTGATATGACTCCACTTGAGCCTAGCATACCTGGGAGTGGGGCATGCCTCAGGCTACCTCTCCAGAAACCCCTCACCCAGCCCCACTGTACTCTACACCACTGCTTTGGGAGGCAGAAGCCTGGACTATGGGTCAGGGTGAGGGGAGGCCTTGGGCTGTGTGCAACTGGAGTGCAGGAGCCAGGGTCCTGGTGAGAGCATGGGTCCTGTGAAGGCTGCAGCCTGGAATTTGGCACTTACCTGACTGTCCTGTGGGCCCCTCATGGGGCCAGGCCTGACCTCCAGCAATGGGAGTGGGAGTGGGGGAGTGCTGAGCCAGCTCCACTGTAGGCCCTACCCTGGTCTTGCTGCCCTAGGCAGCCCAGGGACAAGTGTGGTACCCTCCTGCCCTGCCCTGCACAGAACGCTGGGGATTGGGGGCAGTAGAGAGGCTCCATGTCTAGCTATATTCCTCCAGGCCCCCCTTCATACCCCTCCTCTCTGTGCCCTACTCCATGCCAGATGCTATTTCCTAGACTCAGACCCTAGATCAGAGGAATCCCAAGGTCTTACAAGGGTGAGGGCCTGGCCCAGAGACTTGTGCAGGAACAGTGTCTTGGCCATCTATGTTGAGAGTGTCAAGTTTAGAGAAGCTGTCAAGTGCTGTGTCCCTTTTTTAGGGTTAGCCTCCATCCCTGGGCAGAGCAAATCCCTAAGTGAAACCAAAAGAAGCAGTCTTGGCTTTCTTTCCAACACTAGCCATATTTTGAGACAAATGTGTGCCAGATTCTGGAAGGCAAGTCACTCAGGTTTTCTGGGAGCCTGCTGCCCCTACTGGGGCTGAAGGCCATGGACACAGGACACTTGAGCATCCTGTGGCACCACCAGGCTGAAGTGGACAGTAAACCTTTATGGGCCTAACTCATAGGCTTAGAGCTCTGGGAGCAGCCAGTGACCCTCCTTAGGTGCCCCTCCAGCTGGAACCAGGAGACGTCTTCTCCATGTTGGGTAAACTGAGGAACAGTGCATCCCAGATAACTGCTTTCACTGCCTGGCAAACTTTGATTAGATACTTGTGGTTACTGTGTTGTGTGGGGATCAGGGGCTCTGTGGGAAGGGCCAGCTAGTGTCTGGAACCAGACCGGGGTGGCAAGTTCT